AGGCTCAGCACCCCCAGTAGTAGCACCCTCAGGCTCAGCACCCCCAGGCGTAGCACCCACACGCTCAGCACCCCCAGAGTCAGCACCCCCAGGCTCAGCACCCTCAGCAGCACCAGAGTCACCAGTAACCTCGACAGGCTCGACTGCGTCTACCTGGGACACACTTGAAGGGGCAGGACCCTGAGGGGGGAGGGGGTCTACCGGGGGGGGACCTGGCACAAGGAAGAGCGGTGGCGGGGGGAGGGACGGAGTGCGGTAGGGGAAGAGGCGGTAGTAGGGGACCGACTCGTCAAACGTGACGTCCTGGGAGGACAGAACACGGCGAGAGGTGGGGTGGTAGAACTGCCACCCTGGCGCGTCAGGGGGGAAGCCAAGGAAGACGCAAGGAGCAGCACGAGGGGACAGCTTGTCCGCAGACAAGTCGCGGACAAACGCCCGAGATCCCCAGACACGGAACGCAGACGCATCGCCAACCTTCCCCGTCCACAGCAAAGCTGGGGAGGTCTCCGGCATGGAGACCCTGGGGTGAAGGTTGATCTGATGCGCCGCGTACCGAACCGCAAACGGCCACAGAAAATGGGGGGCAGCCGCATGCATCATGGACGTACGGGCGACGTCCATGACCATGCCAATGCGGCGCTCAGCAATCCCATTTTGCTGTGGAGAGTCCGGAAGCGTGAAGGTCTGGCGGATGCCTCGTGCACGACAGTAGGCTCGCAGAAGGCCAGAGGAGAACTCTCCACTTCTGTCAGAGTGCAGACGCAGAACAGGAAAGTCCGAGCCGAAGCTCTGCCTGAGCTGGAGACGAGCTGCGCGGATCCAGTCGATCAACACCTCAGTGACATCACCCTTGCTGCGCAAGGGGAAGACTGTGGTGTAACGCGAGTAGTCGTCAACCACCAGCAGGAAGTAGCGCTCGTGACCCTGTCCACGGACGCGGGCCGGGCCCCACACGTCCATGTGAAGCGTCTGCAGCGGGGCCTCTGTCGGAGGAAACTGGGAGGAGTGAGGGGCAGCCCGCTGCCGCCCCTCGACACAAGGGACGCAGGTAGGGCCTGGCCCCGGAGAAAGGGGAGGGAGGGACCGGGGAAGACCAGAGACAAGGACACGGGAGGCCATGCCTCGGAGACGAAGCAGGGAGGGGTGACCAAGGCGGTGGTGCCAGAGGAGAGTCTCGTGCGACAGGAGGCGACACGAACAGGGGGCAGACTCAGGACCAGACCTGGACGCTGCAGCAAACACCTGACCCGACGCAGCTACCTGACCAGACGCAGTGACTGGAGGAGACGCAGTGGTCAGTGTGTACAGGCTCGACCCCGGCCGACGTGTAAACGTGGCCAGGTGTCGGCCTGTCCGAGCGTCCGTGCAGTGGGTCACCCGCTGACTCGCAGGAGTGAACTGGTGAACCCCCGCATCCTGTAGGTCAGCACCACTCACCAAGTTCGTAGAGAACGAGGGGAGGTAAAGACCAGACAGAGTGCCAGAGGGGGCCGCCGGACACGGGAGGACAGTGGAGAAGTGAGCAAGGACAGGACCCCCAGAGGGGTCTGCCAGAGAGACTGCAACTGGCCGGCCAAGCGGCGTGAGTGTGGTGCGGTCTCGAAAGAAGGAGCGAGAAGCCCCCGAGTCAAGGGTGAAGGTGTGGGAGGCCGAAGCCGACGCAGTACCTGAGAGAGCAGACTCACCAGCACCTGAGTGAGCAGACGCACGAGCACCTAGAGCAGCAGCCTCGCTAGCACCTAGAGCAGCAGCCTCACCAGTACCTAGAGCAGTAGTCTCAATGCCCGGGTCGGGCGGAAAACACCGGTAACAGTCACCCTCATCACTAATAGTCACAGCATACATGGCAGCAAGAATAGTATCAAAGTCAAGGTCAAAGACAGCTACACCCGCCCTAGACAGCTCGCCCCAGCGGGGGATCTCAGTGGCCTCAGGGAACTGGTGACACCAAGCGTCCGTCAGGCGGCCAAAGCAGCGCTGGGTGGAGTGCGCACCCCCGCACTGCTCACCCGCGCGGTCGCCGGTGCGTAGGACGTAGGTGCACGGACCAGTACCCCCACCCCGCTGGCGTGCAGCGTACCACTCACGGAGCTGCTGAGGGGGGGGGATGTCACGAGTGCGCTGCTGCCGCTGCTGCTGCTGCTGCTGGCGCTGACCACCACCGGAGCCGACCCTCTGCCCAGCGCCACCCCGACCAGCTCCACCTCCTCCGCCGCCGCCTCCTCCACCGCCGCCACCTCCGCCACCTCCGCTCCCACCGCCACCGCCGCCGCCGCCTCCGCCTCCACTGCTGCCACCGACACCTCCACCCCCGCCACCACTCCCACCACCACCCCCACCCCCTCCACTGCCGCCACCGCCACCTCCGCCACCCCCGCCAGCCCCTCCAGCACCCTTGCCCCCCTTGCCCTTGCCGGTGCGGCGTCTCCCGCTCGGGGCAGACGCAGCGCCGACCGACTCGAGACCAACGAGGTCGGCCGCAGCAGCAGAGGCAACAGAGGGCAAAAGGGGGGAGGGGGAACACCCCTCAAAGACGGGGGTGCGAGGGTCACCACGAGAGGCTCCTACAGCGACTATGCTCTTCTCTGCTGCTAGGAGGGCCTTCTCGAGGAGGTCAACGGTGAGAGTGGTGGGGCAAACTGAGAGGAAGTGGTCCCTGACTACGCGAAGGGAGTCAGGGAGCCGGGTGACTATGTAGTAGAGGGTGATGTACATGGGGGGGGGGGTTCTTGGCGCAGAACTCAGCAGGAAGCGCAGCGCGGTAGCGAGTGTCACTAGTGCGGAGGTGCGTAATGAGGTCAGCGACTGTGGGAAAGGCAGCAAGGTCAGGGAAGAGGTACGGTAGCATGAGGCGGCTCAGTGCAGCAGTGGCAGGGGAGGAGTAGCGCGCAACTACAGCGTCGTACAAGGTGTGAGCACTCTTGTACTGGCTAAAGTGCGCACGCTCAGAGGTAGGCAAGTGGCGACGCACAGCTAGACGTGCAGCAGCATCGCGTGTGGCCCACTGTGAGCGAACAGTGGCGTCGGCATCAGCAGCAGGGGCAGGAGAGGCACCAGAGGTGAGGTCAAAGAGGGAGAGACCGTCTTCCCTATCGCACTGTAAGAAAAGCTGCAGGTCATCTACCCAGACGTCAAAGTCAATGGCCCGACCCTCAGCGTCAAAGGCGAGGACACTAGGGGTAGCCATGACAGCAGTAGACTAGCAGTGCGAACAGTAGGGTAAGGGCAGTGCAGTGACAGAGGCGCTGCTCTTACCGGACAGGGCGGCTCGGGCGGCTCGGCGGCTCGGCGGCTCGGCGGCTCGGGCGGCTCGGGCGACTCGGCGGCTCGGGCGGCTCGGGCGGCTCGGCAACTCGGCGGCCCGGGCGGTTCGGCGGTCGGCTGCTGGGCGGCTCGGCGGCTCGGCTGCTCGGGTGCTCGGCTGCTGGGCGGCTCGGCGGCTGGTGTGGTTGGTGACGACCGCGGCAGCAGTCGCAGAAGCTGTGGCGACTGCTGCTGCAGAGACGGCTGCGGCTGCTGCCTCAGGGACGGCGGCGGCCGGCCGCTAGGGGCCGCGAAGAGCGGCGGAGAGGCCGTGAAGGGCGCCACGAGGGGCCGTCGAGGGCGGCGACAGGCCGTGAGGAGGCCACGGAAGGCGGCTCGAGGGGCCGCGAGGGGGCCGTAAGGGGCCGACTGGCGACGGGAGGGGCCGAAGGGGCCGCGGGAGGGCCCGTAAGGGTAGCGGGAGGGGCCGTAAGGGCGGCACGAGGGGCCGTGAGGGCGGCGCGACGGGCGCGACGGGCCGTAAGGGCGGCGCGACGGGCCGTAAGGGCGGCACGAGGGGCCGTGAGGGCGGCGCGACGGGCGCGACGGGCCGTAAGGGCGGCGCGACGAGCCGTAAGGGCGGCGCTAGGGAGCCGTGAGAGGGCCGCTAAGGGCGACGCGACGGGGCCGTGAGGGGCCTAGCGAGGGCGCGACGGTAGGGAGAGCACACAGGGCGCGACTCGGGCCGGAGCGAAGCGCGCTCCGGGCAGAAAAAAAAATTTCGTGGTGGTGGGCCCTAGGAATCGTTCCCACTAGGGAACCTGCTCGATACCATGAGAAGAAACGAGGAATGAAATGACTAAGGGAAAGTTGGGTACAAATGTAAACCCTAGAAAACTGTACCCCATATGTGCTACCCCACTATAGCCTACAGTAGCTATGTCATATAAATCTGACAAGTGTTATACTAGTTTTATTTATACACGATTCGAAGTTTGTGTTATCATGTGCAACACACTTTTTTATTCACGCTCCCACAAGCCCAAACAAGCATCTGACGAGGCAGCGACAGAGTATTCACGACTGTCTGAGTAGATGTACGCGGACTGCACATTGTTGACTAGCGGGATTATCACGGGGATTAGGTCGTCCTCCATCCCCCATGTGTGTCTTACGTGGAAGGGACGGAATAGTCACGACTGTGTCACGACCTGATCGCGTATTGCTGACTGTTGTCGTGCGGATTTTCGGTTGGTGTTTTGTGAATGTCAAGTGACGCCCTCGTTGTTACATATCATTCCCCACGCACTCTTCGCGATGCATTCACTTGATGTTAACTGGCCGTTTTGTCGGACAACCAGCGTACGTTGAAGCGACGAAATACTCACGGATGTTTCACGAGGTGATCGTGGATTGCCAACTGCACTTGACGTTTACTCAAAGGCAGTGGGATGCACACGGCACCTTTACAATACCCTCGCGAGGCATCGACACGCGTCCAATTGAATTGTTACGGGCCATTGACTGGCAAATGCGGTGTTTCTTGACCGTTCATAGACCCTTTCTTAACGAGGCCATAGTATGTCATTTTTTTGGTTCAAAATGGAATGGATATTATGGTGCAAACGTAAGCACACACTAAGTAAGCACGTAGTCATATCCACACATGATCCACAGTGCGCTACCATAGCCCTAAGTAGCATGTTTAGACATCGGCGGTACCTCAAAACTACCACCTAATGCCCATGCCCGCTGGCCTATTCATCCTTAGATCCCACACACTCATCGTTATCTCCTGTCACCCCTCGTGACAGGCCTTCACCCACCGTTCTGGCCATTTTGTCGGGCCGACCGCCACGCTGACCCAAGCTCCTATCCAGTGCGGCTCGCTTCATCGCAGCCTTGCGCTCTTTCTCGTCATACTTAGCCTTAGCAGTAGGCCAATACTCCGGCCACTGCTCCCACTTGTGCCAGAACTTCTGACGGACCATCAGCTCACACTGCTGAGCCGTACAACCCTGTAACTTTGCCCTGTCGACGTCCGTCAAGGGTATGAGATCGCCTCTCGTGGGATTGTCGACAAACATCACATGCGACGCTGCGGCTATTGACCTAGCCGCGGCGACCTCAGATTGAAAGTGACTGCTGATGACAATCAGAGAATTGGAATTGCGGTCGAGGACAATCCTAGCCTCCCACTTGTTCTTACCCTTCTTCTTTGTGACTCCCGTGAACCGCTTGCTGGCGGCCTCCTCCTCCTCACCAACCTGGGTCGATGGCATGAAGGATGAGGAGGCGGCTGGGGAGGGCAGAACCTGTTGCGAGGGCATGTTCAGTAGAGTCCCACGAGGTGCGGAGGAGGTGTGGCCAGGTAGGATGCTGCCAGTGTCGAGCGCCTCAGCAGCAAAGAGGAAAGCAGGTGATTCCTGCACACCGGGGCCGTGCGACGACAAAGGCAGATGCACAGACGCGGTTGGATGTCCTGATCCGTGGAAGAGCAAGTTGGGACGATGCAGAGCATGGCCACTAGGCCTTGCTGGCGCGACAAGTGCAGATGCTCCAGGCTGAACACCACCTGCCTGTGGAGCAAACACCCCCGCTCCTGGTGCACGAAACCCCTGGAGATGCATCACGGGTGGAAAAATCGAGGTCACAAACAGCTGTTCTCCTGATGTCCATGCCGCTGAACTTGTGTGAAGCACAGCTGTCCTCGAAGCGTCATCCGCTGCTTGCGACCCGGTTGTATCCTGGACCTGCACACATGGCGGGAAATTGGTGAGATCCGACCCCAGTCCCAATATATCCCAGCAGTCGTCTCCAGGCCGTACCACGCCTGCGTTGATAGCAACCCCCGTGGCGGGTCCGTGCTGACCCGCTGCCGCCTTTGGAGCACCCGCGGTAGCACATGGCTGCGCCGCCGCTGCTGTTAGTGCAACGCCTGCAGAACCTAGCTGACCCACTGCTGTTGTAGGTACACCGGCTGCTGCCTTTGGCTGACCCGCTGCTGCTGTTGGAATAACGGCTGCTGCAACTGGCTGACCCGCTGCTGCTGTTGAAACACCGGCTTCTGCACTTGGGTGACCCGCTGGTGCTGTTGGAATAACGACCACTGCACCTGGCTGACCCGCGGCTGCTGGTGAAACGACGGCTGCTGCACCTGGCAGACGCGCTCCAGCTGGAAGAGCACCGGCAGAGGAGCCTGGCTGAACCGCTCCAGGTGGTGGAGCACCAGCATAGGCACCTGGCTGACCCGCTCCAGCAGGAGGAGCACGGATAGAGGCACCTGGCTGACCCGCTGCTGCTGTAGTAACACATGCTGCAGCACCCGCCTGATCAGCCGCTGAGGATGAAGCGCCGGCTGCGGGACCCGTGTCACCCACCCTAGACCTATGTGCACCGGATGTGGCTCCCTGGGCTTGCACGAACCCTGGAATCTGGCCGAAAAGTGGTCTACGCGCAAGTGACAGAGCAACAGCAGAGGTGTGAAGAGCACCTCTTGTTGTACCAGGAGCAACTACAGCAGCGGTGGAGTCGCCGGCTTCAGGCCTGTTCAAACCCTCCAGGGCAGCCATCGGCAGCTTGAACCCTGCATGTGCAGCCAACTGCTGAAAGGCGGTAAACAGTGATGACACCGACACCGTCAGTTTGACAATTCCCTCCCCACCCTTAAAAACCGAGTCTTTCAGATTATCCATGTCTTCAGAAAGGCTGTTGATATGGGCAGCTTGGACAGCCTGCTCCGCCGATAGATCTTTAACCTTGGTCTCAAGATCGACCTCAACTACGTCGTCGCTCTCACCCTCTTCCTCCTGCTGCTGCTCACTCTGTGGTGGACTATCGGCCCCCTTCAGTTTCAGCGATTCCAGCAGAGTACCTTCGCCGGCCTCGCACATCAGAGCACGGATTTCACGCCTGTAGTGTGCGCCCCCGTAACGGAGTTTCGGAATCCCTTCTTCCATGAATTGGAAGCAGCAGAATACAAGCTCCTTGATGAACATGCAGACGTAGAACCCGCAGTCTACGTCGTTCTGTTGCTGGGGTACTTCGAAGTACTGCTAAACACAAGATAAAAAAAAAAGATAAACATAGTCACTTTGAAGCAGGTAAATCGTGTTGTGCTTCTTACAGACAGCGTGACATCAAACACAAATTTGACAAACTCACTTGAAGGCCTCGGCTGTGCACGCGTATGAGCCGCTCTGTCACTTCTTCCCATGGCAGATCAGGGCAGGCCTTTTTAAGGGCCCGCCCAAGAAGCCTGCGGATGGATCAAGAACAGTGGTTTTTTCAACGCAAGGTCTACACGTGAGCACAAAAGATGATAGTAAGGCCCATACAAATGCCGCCGCGGCCTAAACTCACGTGTTGATATTTGTGAACACGGCTTCGCGCTGGTCGTAATGGACGCGTGCGGAGTCGTAAAGGACTGCTAGAACTATTTCTTCCGGCGCCGTGGCTTGGTATTCCTTGTTACTTAGGAGCAGCAGACGGGGGTCCCTAACAACCACAAGGCTGAAATGATGTACTGGTTCCCTGCAGAGAAACCATGGAGCGGAAGTCAGGACATGAAGACAACTGTCCGAAACATCAATGAACCTTAAACGAGAGCTCTGTGAACCACCCTAAACCATTTTAATGTCTCCCTCACTTGTTGAAAACCACGATGCAAACGTAGTCGTGCTCGAACAGAGTTTTGCAGTCAACTCCGCATGCAAGATCCTGTCCCTCGGTGACGGTTTGGAAGGCGAGCGTGTCAAGCGCCAACCACGTTTTTCCGTATGGAAGCTCCTTGTAAAGAAGGCTCAACACCCTGAAACGATACGAACACGAATGACCATTAAAATGAAGGCGATGAGTACGTAATACTAGTAAACCGCGTATCAGGATTTACACGTTGTGAAAGTCGATAATTGAGGTCGATAGCTCGTAACCATCCTGTATGTGGAGGGCATCCATGATTGTCACCTTCGCTCTCTGGCCGTGATGACTTTTTAACTCATGAGTTGGGAAATGGTTACTCTTAACAGACCAAGGAAGCTTATCGTTCACGCTGTCAGGAACTTTGTCACCCTTCGCGAACCTTGATATTATGTCGTCAGGCTCCGGCAGCACATCTACGCCTTCTAATATAACCGGGACCTTAAATTCTGGGCTCGGAGCCGGCACAATATCGCTCGCATCCTGCTTGCCCCTGGTTGATCGTTTCCCTCGCGTAACGGCTGTCGGATTACCTACGGCTTTTTGGGTCTTGAGGCGTGTAGAATGTCTAGGAGGCGTCATCGTGAGCTAACCTAATAAGCACTACGTGAACTTTATGAACTGCGGCTGGTTTGGAAAAGGCGGAGAGGAGGATGCTATGGTAATTGACAAGTAGAGATGAAAATAAGAGAATAAATGAGTCGCTACTCAATGATGTCAAAACCCTTGGTCCACGAGAGACCCACGGAGGAAATGGCGACTGCGTGCTCACGAGACGTTGACGGGGGAGAAGCCGACGTGAAGCAAGGATGATGAAATGACAGACCGTTGCGCCCGTGCATGCAACGGTGCTTAACCAGCCAATTTTAGTCCAAGGTGTCACGCACTTATTGACTGGAACCCTGACATTGATGGGTGTCGAATGAAACTGCAGAAGACTCGTGGAAACATGAACAGCTATATTTTACAGCGCACCAATAAAGACAAAGTCGTAATGATTGTGTGCAACATTTACGAGATGTTTGGACCTGCCCATGAAAACCAAGAAAGTGTACAGAATTCGGTGTTGATGGCGAAAACTGACCACGGGAATCGGGCGCGATCGCGTGGCAGGAGGCCTGTAAAAACCACTGCCTGTTGGAATTGAAGACGAGAAAGCACGGTGCTTCGTCATTCCCTCTTTCATTTCCCTAGGTCCCACGCTTCCACTCTCTGTCGCCCGCGTCGTCGCCATCGCTTCCGCAGCTCGTCGCGTTCGCGACCCCAGCCCGTCGCCTTTGCTCCGCCCGTAGCCTTCACTTCCCCCCCGTCGCCTTCACTCCCCCCCCTTCCTCCCCCCCCTTCCGTTGCCTTCATTTCCCCCTCTCGTCGCCTTCACTTCCCCCCCTCCCGTCGCCTTCACTCCCCCCTCTTGTCTGAAGGAATACTATGGAGAGCGTAGCGATAGCGAGAGAGTTTCTGATATGAGAATGGTGTTGCGCCAGCAACTCAGTAGCGTTTAAGTAGCGTTCGTCTCCAAGGACTTCGTGAGAATTCAAGTAGCAATTGGACTTCACAAGAAAAAGTAATATGATCCATGAATACAAAAGCAAACATACATGCAAATATAGGCAAGCAAGAGTTCACAAATGTTGTGTGGCGCTTTGGTGTAACCCAACCCCACGAAAGTGGTGTGCGGGTGGGTGAACGCGCCCCGCCAAACTTCCATCCAACTCAGCAGCAAAATGTACTCCGTGCACGCCACTCCAGCCAACACTGCAAGGAGTGGCGTGACTCTCAAAGAAGCACACCTAACTCCCAAAGACGCATGCCTCCTCACACCGAATCCACCACTTCTCCAACCATCACGGAGATCGGTGCCGAGGCATTAGGTCGTCAGTCGCCGACCTGCCAAGTCAAACGCTTCACGAGGGCCCTTGCTGTCGTAGGGCCCTCTAACATCGTCGCCTTCACTTTCCCCCCTCCCGTCGCCTTCACTTCCCCTTCCCGTCACCTTCACTACCCCCTCCCGTCGCCTTCACTTCTCCCCCCCGTCGCCTTCACTTCCCCCTCTCGTCGCCTTCACTTCCCCCTCCTGTCGCCTTCACTTCTCCCTCCCGTCGCCTTCACTTTCCCCTCCCGTCGCCTTCACTTCCCCCTCCCCTCGCCTTCATTTCCCCTTCCCCGTCGGCTTCACTTCCCCTCCCGTCTCCTTCATTTCCCCCTTCCCGTCGTCTTCACTTCCCCCTCCCGTCGCCTTCACTTCCCCCTCCCGTCGCCTTCACTTCCCCCTCCCGTCGCCTTCACTTCCCCTCCCGTCGCCTTCACTTCCCCCTCCCGTCGCCTTCACTCCCCCCTTCCGTCGCCTTCAATTCCCCCTTCCGTCGCCTTCACTTCTCCCCCCTGATGCCTTCGATTCCCCCTCCCGTCGCCTTCCCCGGATGCCGCACTCGATTTCCCGCCCGTCACTCTCGCTTCCCCACCCGTCGCCTTCACTTCCCCTCCCATTGCCTTTCACTTCTGCTGCTCACTCTCTTCCCCCCTGCCCACTCTTTTCCCCACCCTTCACTCTCTCCTCTCCTGTTCACCCCCTGTTCTCACCCCACTTCCCCCCTTCACTCAACCGTTCCCCCCTGCTCAACCTCTTTCCCTCTGCTCACTCTCTTCCCCCTTGCTCACTCTTTTCCCCCCCCCCCCCCCCCCTCACTCTCTTTCCCCCCGCTCACTTGCTTCCCCCCTCCTCAATCTCTTTCCCCTGCTCATTCTCTTTCCCTCTGCTCACTCCCCTTGTTCTCACCCCACTTTCCCCAATTCTCACCCATTTCCCCCCTTCATGCTCTCTTACCCCCTGTGCTCGCCCCTGTTTTCCCGGCTCACTCTCTCCCTCCCTGCTCTCTCTCTCCCCCCTCGCTCACTCTCTTTCCCCCTTGCTCACTTTCTTTCCCCCTGTTCTCATCCCTCCTTCTCCCTTTCTCACCCATTTCCCCCCTGCTCGGTATATTCTGTCAGAATAACTGTGTAGGAATGAATGAACTATGAATGAGTTGGGTACAAGTACTAACCCTAAAGTATTGTACCCCGTGTAGGCTAACCCAACACCCCCATAGGCTAAGTGGGAGATAGCAAACACAACAGACGGTCACAAGACCAGTCAAGCAAGAGAACAAAGCAAAGCAAAACTCTGGGTGGATCTCAAGGACACCACACAATCTGAGCACAAGCAAGCGGCCACTCTTGGAGGTTGCGTGAGGCAAGGATTGCCCCCAACCACCGAAAATGTTCCTTCTAGTGCTCACGGTTGAGTGAGCTGCAAGTTGGAAGTTTCATGAATGTGTTGCAGGTTCCAAGAAGTATGGGTTGACTTCGGAAGAACCTGCACTTCGGTGCCACATGGCAGCAAAAGAAAAATCGAGACTGAAGGAGAATTCGATTCGGTGAAATTCGACTTCCGAATTTCACCCCTTCGAAATGTTACTCGAACATTCAAGAGTGTAGCGACTCGAGGTTACATGTGCGACTCGATGCATTGCAGTTCATATAATTTTGTTTGCTTTGTATTGCATAGAATATACTGAAATCGAGAATCACTTTGTACGTGATATATTCTGAAGGAAACCGTCTCACTCCTAGTGACGCCACAGATTTTACTTGGCGAGTTAGGAGCCAAGACTAGAATCGTTCCGACGGGCTCGGAGCAAGGAATCCGTGGCACTTTGAATCTCTGTAATCACCTGAGAATTGAAAGAGATACTTCTTATAATGCAAGGATGGGTACAAGTGACGAGTTTGAAGTTAACTCTCTGGAATTTGCTCTCTGGTTTTATAGCTAAAACATGCAAGCGCAATTGTAACATCGAACCGCGCGCGACTCGCCAGAAATTCGGACTCAGGATCGCGTCCAATTTCCGCGACGTCCGCGTTCACAATTTCGGACTTTGCCGGGTTCGTTTCTTCACGCCGACAATCGTGAGTTACAAGGGACAATAGCGAGTGTAGCGAAATGTTCGTAACATTTGCTTGCACTCTTGCAATTTTCGTGCATGCTTGTGGGGCTGCCAAGTGTCGCCCCCACAAATATTCGGACCCAACCGGGGGCGAACTTGGTTGAGTGTCGACGCGGGCAATCCGCCGTCACCCCTCATTCCGAGAAAGAACCCTCCCTTGGTCCGAGTCAAGGGAGGTCTTCGCGTGGGGGGCAATCTCTCCCCCACAATTC